TTCATCCAGACAATGAAGATGCACGAGAGCCTAGTGTAGATGAGCTAGTTACCTTAGCACAAAAGTCAAAAGTTATTGCGATTGGCGAAACAGGTCTTGATTATTATCGTTTAGACGGTCGCACTATCGAACAAATGGCTTGGCAACGTGATCGATTTAGGACGCACATCGCGTCAGCCAAACGTGTTGGCAAACCGTTGATTATTCATACTCGTGCGGCTCATGAAGACACCTTGGCGATTATGCGCCAAGAAGATGCAGCTCAAGCTGGGGGGATTATGCATTGTTTTACAGAATCGATGGACGTTGCCAAAGCAGCGCTAGATTTGGGATTTTATATCTCGTTTTCTGGCATTATTACCTTTAAAAGCGCTCAAGATTTACGAGAAGTTGTCAAAATGGTTCCCCTAGATAGGATTTTGATTGAAACGGATGCACCCTATTTGGCTCCTATGCCCTATCGAGGTAAAACGAATGAACCTGCGTACGTACATTATGTTGGCAAGCTCGTCGCCGATCTGAAAGGTATTCCTTTTGAGGCATTAGCTCAACAAACCTGCCAAAATTTTTACCAACTTTTTCCAAGCACAACAAATTAACCTACTGAAATGAAATACAAAATTATTATATCCTGCCTTTTACTAGGGCTTACTCCTTTGACGATGGCACAAAAGGTTCCACACAACATCGTCTCAAAAGTTGAATTAAATGATGAGCAAATGGATAAAATGGCACCAGATCTCTATCGCGAAATCCAATTTGATGACGTCAGTACCTTCCAAAAAGCGATGCAAAAGGGATTTGATATTAATTATCAAGACAAAAAAGGCGATACGATTTTGCATAGCGCCATTCGTCAAAAAGCAAAAAAACTCACCAACTTCCTGCTTAAAACCGAAGAAGTGGTTTGGAGTTGGCCCAATCAAGCTGGCGAAACCCCGCTGATGCTTGCTATTTGGTTTGATCAACCAGAAGTTGCCAATCAGTTGATTGATGTTAATCATGTTGAAGTCAATAAAAAAGGCTGGACACCTCTGCACTACGCCGCATGGAAAGGTAATGTTAAAATGGTGCAAAAGCTACTCGACAATATGGCCTATGTCGACGCATGGACACCCAATGACACAACCGCCTTAATGTTGGCTGCACGCGAAGGCCATAGCGACACCGTTAAGGTTTTACTTGCTGAAGGTGCGGATCCGACGCTGATCAATCAAGTCAAAATGACTGCTTTGGATTTTGCTAAGCAAGGTGGTAAAGCCAACACACAATCTTTACTTGAAGAGGCTCTACAAAATAAAGCCTCCGCCGCTAAAGCCGCACCCGTTCAAGAGTAACTTGCCATACCCCCATTACCATGTTTTTTAACAAAAAATCAATTATCTGCCTTTTTGCCAGCTTGTGGCTATGGGGCTCATTAGAAGCGGCCAATGTCAAAAACTTGCAAAAAGCTGGCGAGCTCATTGATGATGCCACCGATGATGCACAAAAAGGCTTTTATGATAAAGCTATTTCGCAATACAACAATGCCCTTGCGATCTTGCAAAAAGAACTTGGCAACAATAATTTAGACTATGTTTCAGCACGCAACAACTTAGCCAATTTATTGACCTTAGCGAGTCAAAACAAAGAAGCCGTTGCGATACGAGAAAGCATTTTACCTTGGCTCAAAAAGAATCTCAGTGACACTCACCCCATTACCCTCACTGTTGCAAGTAATTTAGCAAGCAATTACAATGAGCTAGGTCGATACAAAGAAGCTTACGCGTTGCAATCAAAAGTGGTTAATACTTTAAGCA